AGAAGGTGCTATTGTGCTGTCCCAAACGCCAATGACCAACAGAGCTGCGGAGGCTTAGCAAACCACTGCAAGGTTACGCAAAGGGGAAGCGATTTTTCAGCAAAGCCACGCCTAACATTTAGCTGCTAACATTTAGTGCATTCCAATTTTTCGTGCTCGCCTTCAGACCGTGACTACACGGGTCGAATTGGCGCCTCGCCAAGAAAGGTTGTGATTTCTTCTCTCCAGGGTATTGCGGTCGACACGACTGTAAGCAATAGTCGTGTACGCCCTCTGACGATCGAGCGCGACAATCTCGGTGACTTGATGTCCGGAGGCACCAAAGTCCATGTCAGCGCACGATTTGACCGATCGCGCTCTTCCGATAGCTTCTCTCGCCATTTCCGCTGATGGCGATGAGATGACTGTGCCCACCGTACTGGATCGATCTGCACAGTTCTGTGCAGCAACGAAATCGTTGCGAGGTGAAGAGTGCTCATAGCGTTGTGCTAAAGTGTGGCAGCTATGGCATGACGATAGTTATAGCGCGAGAACAAAACGACGACACAGAGACAAGAAGGACATGTCTTTCGTGTCCTTCTTGTCTCTGTGTCGTCGTCGTTTTGTTCTCGCGCTATAACTATCGTCGTTGTGCTAAAGTTATGCTTCCTGAAGTAGCATCAGGTATTGCATCTTGAAATCAGTCTTGCATGCCAATCTTTCCGTCTTGTGTGTTTGCGTGAATGAGAAGAAGGGGGGGGGGGAGATTAAAGTGCTAAAATGATTATATTTCGTACCCACATGTCTCCTCTTTCCCGTTATGAGAAGTTCTCTCTACTATCTACAGCTCTAAGCGATCGACTGTTTGAACAAAAGACAGAAATTTTGATACCTGTAGCGACAACTCTGGTGAGTTGCTACGTAGGACACAAAGATTGAACACTTACAATGATTTCAAAGAACAAATGCAGAGAAGTCAAGGTGGCGGCCTGCATCACTATCTTATGGCTTCGGTGACGACACCACCATATTCTATGCAGTGCAGGATACGCATTATTTTAATTGCGTCATTTTCAAGGAATCTCACGCTGATGACGCTCCACTGGCAAGATTATGGATAATTTCGCTAACCCTGTGCTGAGCTCTGATATGAACTCTGAACACAAATCTTGCTATCGGCTTGTTGCTCAGAGAAATAAATAAATAAATAAAGAGAAAGAAAGAAATAACCAGGAGTGTTGCGGAAACTTGCTATTGATGAGAGAAGGCAGTCGTTTAAATGAATGCGCGAATGAGCGCCTGTAAGAAACCGCTATGCGCCGGCAACTTCCGTCATGAGCCACCGAATAAAGGCATGGCCATTCAGATAGGAACTTAATGAATCGTTTCATTACGCGCCGTATTTGTTCCCGGTAGAAGATCTCAACTTGACGTGACGAGCACACGAGATGTTCTTCCTCTTTTTGTGAGCTAAATGCAGACTGACGTTTTTTTTTAGAGTACGTACACAGAAAACCGCGCCGAAAAAACACTTATTTTTGTGCACAGATATACAAAGCGGTCGTTAATTAATGGATGAATAATTAAGCGATGGATATTGCATCTAAACATATGTTTACTATATCTGTAAGGGATCCCAAATAGCCTTGCATGCTTTTTTTTAATTATTCCTCGAACAGCTTGCGTGCAATACATTTCTTTAGTTAGAGTGTGTATTTGTGTCATAGTAACCGATTATCCTCTCATCGCAAGTCACACATATGAGAAATGAAGGCACCGTCCTGAGCCCGCACATGTGTACATGTTCCTGCCCTAAAGACTTCATATGTTACGAATGGATTTTCAATTGGTGCTAAGGTGTCTTGGAGTTGTTGAAAAACTCTATATTTAAGGCCGTAGTAGGCAGCCACATCTGTTGCTCAAATGTTGGCCACACCCCTGAAGGGTATAAAACATGTGAAGGAAAGCAGCGCTGTCAAGACAGTAGCTAAGAGACGGCACATCAAACCCGTGCTGCCCTCATAATACTAATAACGTCCACGTTTTTGCGCATCAAAACCACGATATGATTACCATATACGCCCCCCCCCCCCCCCAACATACACTGTGGGTTGAGTATACCGTAGCCCATCTGCTTCTAGCGACGTCATTATTTCACTTTGTAGTTATATGCAAAGTCATGTATCAAATGCCAGACTAATCCTTCTGAGTGATTTTAATACGCCAGAAGTAGACTGGCAAACTATGCATATCAAGTCTGATAGCTCGCAATTGATATGTGATCTCATGCTCAATTTCAATTTACATCAGATAGTGACCCAACCCACGCGAGTACATGCATCATCGTCGAACATTCTTGATTTAGTTTTTTTAAGTGATCATTTCCCGAAAGGAACTACTAGAATTGAAATAATGGAGGGCATCTCAGATCATAACCTAATTTATTGCACTGTAGATGTGAATGACCATAAATCTCATAACAGGCGTCGCTTTATTATTCTGACTTTACCCAAGCTGACGACACAAGTATAATCGATTGTCTTGCTTTCGAATATTATTCATTCGTATCCCTTACAGATAACATATCCATCGACATCGAAACACTTTAGAGTATATTTACAGGCATCGTGACATCATGCATAAAACGCTACGTACCGATCAAAAAGGAAAAAAAACTGGGTGACTATACCCATGAGTAACACGTGACGTGATACATCTACTAACAATATCGTGACGTGATACATCTACTCATAAATATCTATACCTAGAAGGGCCCTGGACCTGACAACATATCAAACATCTTTCTTAAAAGGTATTCAGAATGGGTAGCTAAATATTTATGTGAAATTTTTAATAAATCACTGCAATCATGCACTATCCCCACAGTATGGAAAACCGCAAAAATTATACCAGTACACAAAGCAGGCAGCAAAACCATGGTTTCAAATTACAGGCCAATATCACGAACTTATTCTGTGTGTAAATTGTTAGAACATATGATATTGAAACACATAAGTATTTACCCAGAAAAAAAATCATATCTTGTCTCCTGTAGAACATGGCTTCCGAAAAGGCTTTTCAACGGTTACTCAACCTTTAGAACTAATACACGTTGCAGCCCAGTCCATTGATAACCATAAACAAATTGACCTCATCTTCTTAGACTTTTCAAAGGCATTTCATCGTGTTTCTCACACAAAATTAATAAGTAAATTAGAAGTTACTCTTGGAGATAGCACCATCGTTCACTGGATTAAGGATTACTTAACCACTCGCTCACAATTTGTACATTTACAGGACACCACCTCTAGAATAGTACCAGTCACGTCAGGCGTGCCACAGGCAGCGTGTTAGCACCAATGTTATTCACAATATTCATTAATGACCTGCCCCTCTCAACCGAAGTAAAACTAAGGCTCTTTACAGATGACTGCGTACTTTACCAGCAAATTAATACTCCTACGGATCACGTAATTCTTAACCGAGCACTAGAAGATGTACACACGTGGTGCAAGAAATGGCAAAGGTCCCTTAATATTGGTAAATGCGTCTCCATGACAATAACTCGCAAAAAACACAGGTCCATCTTTTCTTACACTATTGACAACTGCCCCTTAGCCACAGTCTCTAGCCACAAATATCTAAGAATAACAATTTCAAACAACCTGAGGTGGGATACCCACATTGACAATATTACTAGCACAGCCATACAAAGGCTATTTTTATTGAAAAGACGTCCTAAACTCGCACCACCAATTACCAAACTAATAGCTTATACTACCCTCGTCAGATCTGTATTAGAATATGCCAGCCCTGTCTGGTTCCTGTATACCCACCAACAGAGTAATAAAATAGAAGCGGTTCGAAGAACAGCGATAAGGTTTATTTTTAGCAAATATAGACTGACAGACTAACCGACGCATCTACTCAATAAGGCTGGCATTTTAACACTACAAAACCAAACAAAACTAACAAGACTAAAACTAATGTTTTAACTACTATACAACATAATAAAAATAGATACGTCAAGGTATCTATCTTTTTTTTCATGGCAGACCAACCCGTCATAATCATTCCCATACCCTTGTAGAATACTCTTTCAACACAAATTGCTTTAAATACTCATTTTTTTCCTCTAACCAATGAAGAATGGAACTCGCTGAAACCCACCTTAAGCACTGAATCATCCCTAAACTTGTTTACAGCTGCGATTGAAAGCAAATTGCTTGCCTCGCAAATCGCACTAATAACATCACATCATCAATAAACCCAATAAACGAGTCAGTGTAATATTGCTAATACAAAACTTTTGTTTTTTGTGATCATTACTTTTAAGTGACATGTTTTATCAATTAGTTTATAGTTCATAAAAATTTTTTGAATAAGGTGTTCAATAAAAATGCCTACTAGTTTTTCCTACCCCATATTTTAAGTGCATGCATTATCTTTTCGCGGTCGTTTTTAACAATAGCCTAGTTCATGATTTTTCTATTACTAGAATTGTTTCATTGCGTGTTCTTCAATGGCAATGTGTAACCTATGATTTGCATGTCATTTTGTGATTCCGGCTTTTTTGTGTGTTTTCTATCAATATGAATCTGTGTAATCAAATATTCGTTTTCATATGCCTTCCCTGCTATAATCTCTGATGAGATTGGCAATATTGGTAAATAAATAAATAAATAAATACGCCATAGCGGAATGCACCGGAAATGTCGATTATCTGGTATTCGTGTGACCTTGCTTCTGGGCTTGCACATAAGCAATAACGTCATGCTCTACACAACACATTTCCGCAGCAAGCGAGCACCGTCGGCTTCGTTTACTAAATCGAAGTTTTATTTACGCACATAGATCGCAAACGTATATGATGCAGTGTATTCACCAGCGTGCTGTCATAAGCTTTTCTTTCCTTTCCCGCTTTTTTTCAGGAAGTCTGCTCACCTATACGTCAAAGTCACGACTAATGCTGAGACGACTGTCGGCATGAACTTCTCCAGCGCACGTAAAAACTAAGGGCAATGACGAATAGCAATGCAAACGCGCCCAGCTACACCGACTCGCTGGCAAACACATCTGCCAACTTCTCTCTTCAACTCACTGGTCGTGTCGACGGCAGTGAAGACTCCGCCACAAAATTCGGGCCCCAGTATCACGGTCAAGTCCGCGTCACCATAATCCTCATCATGATCGCCTTCTCGGCCACTGGAAACAGCGTCGTCTGCTGGCGGCTACTGCGGAATCGTCGACACCATCGCTACCAGAAGGCGCACGTCTTGTTCCTGAACTTGGCCATGGCCGACCTTCTGGTCACCACGGTCACGATGACCTCGCAGACGGTCTGGGAGATCATGGGTCGCGCCTGGATCGCCGGCGACACCTTCTGCCGCATCTTCAAGGTGCTGCAGACGTTTGCGCTCGCCTCGTCCACCTACGTTATCGTGGCCATCGCGCTGGACAGACACTTTGCCATTGTGCACCCGCTGGCCAGCTGCCCGACGCCTTCTCGCCTGGCCACGGCCGCCTGGGTCGCTTCGCTGCTGCCATCGCTGCCCAACCTGTACGTGTTCCGCCTTGTCGATGCGGGCGCCGGGATCAAGTACTGCACCTCTCTGTTCTACGCCAACAAGATGGTCTCGCCGCTCGCTCGCCAGCTGTACATGACCTCCGTGTTCATGGCCGTGTTCGTGCTACCGCTCATCCTGCTCGTAGTGCTGTATGGCCGAATAATTGCCGAGATTTGGCATCAGAGCTCAGCCATCAAGAACAGGCACCAGACCACTTCGTCACTACCGAAGGCTAAGGTACAGTAGCCATATGACCGCTCGATCATTCATAGCACTTTATTTTTCTAGTAGCATAAAGACAGAACCTCGTGCACATTATATTGTTCAATTTACGAGCGAGATACGTTGCTTGCAAGGTGCTAAGTAATCTAGTATGAAAGGCTAACAATCTGTTAATGTGTGAGTTGCTATGTACTTGCATCAGCTTTGCAGAAACCCTCACCAAGTCCGTGCTCGAGCATGTGTGACAAAATGCAACCAAATGCCAATGGCGTACAGTAGACGTCAGTGGCATGATAAGGTCACAGATGTCGTTTCGCACGATGCTTAGAGGGATTATATGCAAGCCGGCCTATCTTTTTCCAGTCAGTGGTGGCGGCGAATTATTTCAGTAAGATAGTTTGCTGGGTGAGTAGGCGTGTGATAAGAGTATGACGATAGCGGCATGAATGGACGTAGCCAAGGAGAGGGTGGGAGGGGGGATTCAGACTATTTTAATTTTATTTATTTTGCTTGCGTATATTTACAAGTACACGTACAAACATACATAAAAATATAACTGAGCCCCCCCGCCTCCTTTTCCCTCCTCTGAAAAAGTTTCTGGCTATATGCTCCTGCCGGCATGCTATACAAAAAAGAGCTCCAGCAAAAAAAAAGAGTGCTTATGACGAACATTATATAAGACAGTTTTACTCTTAAGAGCCACAATGTGAAGTGTAATGCATGCACGCACAAAAATAAAGAGAGATGCGAAATAATGATATTGAGCAAATATCCCAGCCGTAGAGTGATATTCTAAACGTAAATTTTAAAAAATAACGTCTTTTGATGAGCGACTTCCACTTGTGTGGCACGTACAGTGTCACTCAGAGAGAGAGAACAAAATGAGGGAAAGGCAAGGAGGTTAACCAGAAAATGGAGCATCTGGTTTGCTACCCTGCGCTAGGGGAAGGGGGAGTGGGGAAGAAAAATGGGAAAGAAAGCGAAGAGGGAAACAGACGCGCGCAAAAAAAAGGGGGGGGGTGGCTGGGGTGCTACAGTCTATCCAATAGGCCGCTGCCACGCAAAAAGTTCAGTAAGGCCTTGACTGATTTTCCGTGAGCACACAAATCATGTCGCCTTTCTAGCACTGATTGTTCAGACAAAGGTCTGTCGTCCAGGTGAGCTAACGCAGCAGCTAGTTGCCGTCTTTGCACGCTGTAACGAGGGCAGTGACAGAGAATGTGCTCTATAGTTTTATCGCTGCCACAATGACCACAAGCAGCACTGCCGATTCGGAAGGCGAAAGCTTTGGTGAAGGCGACACCAAGCCATAGTCGGCAAATCACCGTTGTCTCGAGTCGAGAGAGTCCAGACGGAGGCCGGAGTCGACGAGACGTGTCCAGTCTATGCATTCGCGTGTGCCGTAAGCACTCGGCGTTCCACAGGGATTTTAATTCTCCATTAGCAATTTTCCGGATTCTCATTGCAGCATCAGTCCTTGAAAATGGTATAGATTCTTCTTCACCATCTTCGTGCGCTGATCGAGCAGCTGCATCGGCATGTTCGTTGCCCAATATGCCGCTCAATTTTCAAGTACAGAAGGCAGCAGATGTCTCGCTTCATAACCTCGCCAACCATTAGAACACCAGCACCCTTTTGCCATCTTTCTGCCATTGCCACGTCTGTATCTCTAACGTTTGACGTGAAATTCTCTAAAAGATTTCACGCGTTGTGCCATATATAGTTCACAATCCTAGAGGCATTGATTTCGTCTAAATCTGCAAAACAACACTTTCATTACGCAATACCCAAGCGTAAACATTACTCGATGTTGTTTGATCTTTCCAAGACTTACACAAAAAATCTAAGACGGGTGATATAGTGCATACATGTCGTATCTTGATGTAATATGCACCTGTTTGATTACACCGACACTGAGACGACGGTGTGTGTGAAACGCGTTTACGCGTATGTCTGCTGCTGCATACATACATACATACATACATACATACATACATACATACATACATACATACATACATACATACGTACGTACGTACGTACGTACGTACGTACGTACGTACGTAACATACATACATACATACATACATACATACAATACATACATACATACATACATACATACATACATACATACAGACTACATACATACATACATACATTCATACACTACATACATACATACATACGTACGTACGTACGTACGTGCTTGCGCTCGCGCGCGCGCGCGCGCGTGTGTGTGTGTGTGTGTGTGTGTGTGTGTGGTGTGTGTGGTGTGTGTTGTGTGTGGTGTGTGTGTGTGTGTGGTGTGTTGTGTGTGTGTGTGTGTGTTTAAATAGACAGGCACACATATGTTACGCTCCCTCCCTGCCAAATGAAGCTGTCGACTCCTCAAGCTGTCCGAGAACGCCTTTTGTTTTACAGTCTCCTCTGCCTCCATCTGTGACAATACAGGATGCTAGATAAACCAATGTCAACTTCAATCTGTGGCACACTTCACTGTTTGTTTGTTTCGTCCCTTCTTTCTAGGTCAAAACCGTAAAGCTGACGGCTGCCATCTTCGCTGCCTTCCTGGTGACAAACGTGCCGTACATGATCCAGGAGCTGGCCCTGGCCTTTGCCGGTTCCAGCGTGTCCTTGGATCGAAACGTGGTGGCCCTGTTCGGAGTCATCTCGGCGTCCAACAGTGCCATCAACCCGTTCATCTTCCTCTTCTTCCAAAAGAAGAGCAGTAGCGCCAAGGGGAGAAGGCGCTTCGTCATGCCCTTTCGCAGGGACACCGTCGCCGAAAGCAAGAACGGGACTACATTCTCGAGTTGTAGGAACAGCGGCGCCGGTCACGATCGCTACACCAGCTCGCCGAAGAGCCAATCGACCATCTACACCATCTCTTCGCGTGAAACAAACAGGAAGTCACCCTCCTCGGAACAGTGTGCCGATCTGAACGCGTAGCCGGTGCTCGAGTGACGCTCTTGAAGAGACCTGAACCATTACCAAACTAATGTCTCGGTCACACCTGCGAATAGCATCGGTCGCGCGACCAAGTCAGTCGCAAAAGCAACTGGTTACAAATGACCAGTTGGGTCGCAAAGCAACCACTTTGGCTCGGTCGCTTGCTGCGAAATTTTGCAGTAGCGCGAATGCAGTCGCAAATCTCTGAGCCAATCAGGTGAGCGGGAACAGATCGTCAGTTTATTTCATGGTTCAATGGGAATGCGAGCAGACGTGAATAGTGTGTCGTGACGGGTGTAGGTCACGTGCAGGTGCAAACAGCGGTCGCTTTGAGTCGCTTTTTGGTTTTTGGCCGAGAATGGTCACGCGACTGGTGCAATTCACGGGTGTGAATGATCGTTAAGCATCGCAAACATCAAGCCACGATTGCCAGTGACACGCTTTTCTCCCTGACTATTATGGGCACCACGAAACAAATTTTATGACACACTGTAACTATTTTGGGAGAAACCCTTATACTCGCATGCTCAATAGTGGTGCGGAAAGTGCAGAAGCGTATGATATTCATTGAGTAAGGGGAATATAAACTCCCCTTACTCAATTCTCCACGTGGAGCCTGTAAGGTACTTGTAAATAAATGAATATAAGAAATAAAAGATTATTAAAAACAGCAGCGGGCCAAACGCCTAAAATTGAGCGCCTGCAGCTCACTGCTCGTACCTGAAATTTCTTGCTTTATGCTCAAAAAATATGGCACGCTGCAGTACGTTTCATACATGGAAGGCCAACACTGTGAAGTCTGCAGTCAAGTTTCTCACTGGTCTTACCCCCCGACCGAAAAATAGCGTTCCAGGTATGAAATGCAAGAAGAACCAATCGAGGGGCCTGTTTTTCTTGTTCGTACTAGACACACTTAGGTGCTAAACTCGAAAGTTCTCTGTTCAGCCACGGCCAATGCCAAGTTCTTTTTCGTCCCGTTTATTTTTTCAATATCATTTTAAAAATGACCAATAATACCGCTTGTTTTTCTTGGCTACGTAATTAGTTGGCTTCATAAGGTATGCATTAAAAGCAGTTGGCACATTCTTTGGGGCGCAACGCTTTCTTTAAACGCGGTCGAAAAAATAAGGTTTGGAACAAGAGCACCTAAGCAACGCAAGTCTGAGGCAACCATTCATAAATAAGCCAACTGCTTAATTAGTGAACCTGCTAAATATGGGTACAACTCGAATTCTACGCGGAATAAGTCACGTACAGTCCTGGTCAAAGTACCCGGGCCACGCTTTCATATAAAGACATGGGAGTGGCCTGGGAACTTCTGACCGCCCCTCTACCTTTACTTCCCTTTGAGGTACCCAATCAGCGGGATCTACGGTGCATATTGGAAGCATTTTATCATTGAACTGGTGTAGTCGCACCTTTGTCGGACCCTCGGCCTCAATGTATCACTGCTTCCCTTCACCAAAGCATAGCACAAAGCCGCACTGTGTTCTAACGCAATCTTGCCTTCTCCAATTAGCCTTATTGTATGACACAGTTATTTTTCCATATAAAGAAACTGTGATGGCCTAATACCTGGAGAAGCGTAATGATCACGCTAATTCCGTAGCCTTTGAAGTGTTGCCTGCTACGTACGAAACGGTATACAGCGGGAGTATTCGTAAAATCCGTAATGGACGGTCCATCTAAGCGCACACTAATTGAAAGTGGCTCGACTGTTGACGGTAATGGCTGGTTCCCCAGTTTAGGAGTGAGACGAGATCGGCGCGCACCGAAGTGAAAAGCCGACGTAGCGGACATTTACAGAACATCATTCCAGGTCACGCTGGATTAGTTGACGTCTACAGAGCGCATATTTTTTAATGAGATAATTGTTACCAGATCGTTGACAGCGTACACAAGCACTAAATAGATTATATATGACGCGTATGCTTGTGCATCACTCCTCACTGACGTTTGGTGAAACTCGACCAACTTCCTCCAACATAAGCTTCGCTTCTTGCCTTCTGAATGTATCTACCCGAATCCCAACACACGTGTACAAGTGGCATGTTCATTATCTTCTGTGTTAATAACTAGAAAGTGTGAATTCACACCATCTTCTCAAAGTGAACCCTGATGTGATGCGAAGCAGCAGCGTTGCGTACGGGTGGCGTCACGAGTTGAACGGCGCTTATTCGGTTGCTGCGGTGTGCGCTTCAAGATTAGCGAGCGGCGGTTGAGGAGCGAGAACGTACGAGGTGGCAGCTGCGGGCCCTGCGGCGAGGGCGCAGCAGGCGAGGGGGAGAATGACGTCAACACGTGGCAGCGGCGTGAGCTAGTTGGCATCGCTACAGCACCTGCAGAGAGGAGAGCGCGTTGAAGCGCGTTCGTACGGACGCACGGAGAGACATCGTAACACAGGCTGCTCAAAGAGCTGCTTTGCACCTAATACGTCCTTATTCCTTCAAGTGCGACGCCCACATATCAGATATAAGAACCTCTATGTATTGTGCCGTGTTTTACCTTTGCCTTCAAAGAGCAGCGCAGCGTTCTTTTGTTGTTGAGTCAAATAAAGACCTCAATGTTGATATTCTGTCATAGGAGTGCCTGGATTCATTTATTTTTTACTGATGTGAAGTTCAATATCAGAATACAAATTAACAAGTAAACAACTATCACTCACTTTGTCACGTCATGGATAAATTGTGAACTATTACATGACACTATGGCGAGTTTGAAGCATATACTTTGCGTGAACAGTTCAAGCCTTCACAAACGATTAGAATAACTAGATTATGTGAAACTCCTTTAATCTTTGTGCATGTTGTGCATGGTTATTCAAAAAGTAAATCGTGACTGCGTGTAATGCACTTTTTCTAGCGCGGTTGAACTTGCGCGCTACATATATACTAAACTTGTGCTTCGTTTTTCATTAAGTTAGTGGTGCGTAGAAATCAGTCAATTTACTTCACAGCCACACCACAATTGACACCCAAAGACAGCAAGCTAGAATTTCAAACCGAAAATGATTTGACTTCGAAGAAACGATGCAGAGAAAATAAGTCAAGGACAAACAATCAAAGACAATAACAAGGTATGTTAATATAAACAATGTTGCCAACGGCCATAATGAAGTTCAAACACAATCGAATATGCGTTGGTTGACTTAACAAGTACAGGTCTAGGTCTTTCTTTTCTTTTTCGCCTATATGTATATCCTGGCCAGTGTTCAGTTGAAAACACACAAGAGAGGGTGTTATTCACGAGCCACTTACAGTATAAAGGTTCATCCTGTAATTATCATGCAGATACTATAATCAAAGGCGGGAGAGCCATAAAAAAATCAATCTTTCGAAAAAAAGAAATATTTCCGATGTCCCCTTAATCACGCTGACAAAGAAAGTAGAAGAAGGGCGGACTAGCGCATGAGCTTGTGCATGCACTCACGCTCGAGCTAGCGGCATTAGTCGACCGAAGCAGAAGTGAACCTGAAACATCGCCGCCGACGTGAACTGCGACCTCTCTCCGTTCCACACTGTCCGAGGGCACCTGAAGGTACGTCCTTATTCACCATCTCCACTACATACTTTCGATTTGCGGATCTGAAACACACAGTTGGCCTAAACCTTAAAAGCCTCAATGCTACCCACATATGCTCTGGCAGGGCCCCTCCTTACGGGGCCCAAGTCGGCTCACAAAAGAAGATTGGGACTCTGCCTTACGAAGTTCAGAGTTGCTCCCACAACTACGGGCTGTTCAGAGAGCCCACGATGCGGCGGTGAGGCTTGGCCTCCCCGTTCCTACGTGGGAGCGGCCCGCGACGTTCCTCGAAAGGAGTAGCGTTTCCCAGGACCCAATAAAGTTCTTTGTCTGTCTGTCTGTTACCCACTGTTTCCGGTCAATAATTCGAAAGATGTTAATTCCTAACTCTCCCTTGTTACCCGCTGCTGTCTTCTCTTGTGGCTACGGTGCTCCACCACTCACCCGAAGGTCCTGTAACCGAACCGTGGCTGCGGCGGCCGAATTGCGATGAAAGCGCGGTGCTAGTCGCTAGTGTGCTTTCATTTAGCCGCACGTTAAAGTACCCCAAGCGGTAAACACTTCCGACGCCCGTCACTATGACTTCTCTCGTGATCTTATCGTAATTTTGGGATGTTAAACCTCAACCGTTATTATTAAGTCTTCATCGTTAGCCTGTAAATAAGACGGTACATCTACACCGTTCACGCAATGAACTTCGCTGGAAAACAATTTTTTTTTTCGTGTCAAGTCAAGCTTTCCTCTCATATTCCTGCAGTCATTTTATTCGATTAATTTCAGCCGCAACACTTGAAGATATATTTGCAGGACGGTATATAAATAGACGCTTATTCAGTAAACAAACAAGCCTGACACGGATGAGTGCCCCAAGTTCAGCCAAACACGAGGACGTCGCCAATTTGACTGTCTCTAAGACTTGGCATATACCGGCCGACGGTCCCTTCGGCTTGGGAGAACCGAAGTATGTGGCTATCGTCTAAGGCCACCCAGACCATTCGCTTCCAGCAATGCTTCACAAAACTAGCGCCAGACACGCTCGTCGTCTACGGGCCGCGTCGGTCTGGCACAGCGCCAACCGTGCTAAGACAGCGGACCAGGAAAGCGTCGTCGCTATTCGAGAACGGCGAGTCCTATGCTCTGACGGGAAATATCGCCAAAATGGAAATATTACTGAGCGTAATCACCAATGAATGCCACTTTCAATCGATTAAACTGAGACGCAGTACCAAGGCTCTGTAGCCATGTCACGATTGTGTGCACGACGGGCAGGCGATTGGTTCCGGGATGTATGTGCGTCAGAGAGAAATATTCCTTGTTGTAAAATCAGATTATGGCCGGCACATATATAAGCGCTGATATGAGCACCGTAATCACTGAATCAACGGGGCGTATAAAAAAGACTGAGCATTTTCAGGAGGGCATAATTATTCTGTCTATTCTTTCATGCTCTATAGCTTCACTGTAGCTGCCACAGGCTC